CTGTCCCCCGCTACCAAGGGGCAGCCATCTACTACTACTACTCATTCCGCACTCAGTCCTGGTTTCTACATCCAGGACGCTGGAGCCACCCTGCCCCGTGTCTCGGCCTTGCCTTTGGTCCCGAGCACCCTGCCATTTTTCTAAACTGAAAAGGGCCAAGCTGCTGCTGCCGGGGCCAGGCCGGGCCGGGAGCAGAGGAGAAGCTGACTGAGGTTTCCTGTCGCGATGCGAGTGGCTGCTGGGTTTCCATGGCTCTCCTTCCCCTGTTCTCGGTGACCCCTGCAGATTTCCCTTATGAGTTAGTGTCCTGGAATGTCTCTTTATTAGGTGTCTGGAGAAGTAGAGCTGTCCTGATGCCAGCGCCCCCACACTGAGGACTTTATTAGTTTTTTAATTTTCTGTCTGGGTGTCCCTGCTGCATCAAACTTTCCACAGCTGTTGGGAGCTATTAAGTAAGTAGCCTCGTTGGGCGCTTTCCTCACCCCCGCCCCTGCTTAATGACAGGAGAAATTTCTGCACTGCTACATGGAGCCTTGGGAATACAGATGCTTCGTCTCCCTAGGAAAATCTCCTGGCCTGGCCAGGACCTTGGCTGACAGCAGGGCTGCGCAAGCAAATGTGGGGGACAAGCACAAGTGAGAACCATTCTACCCAGTAAGGAGAGGACAGGGGAGCTCTGGATGGCTTTAGGCTGACTCAGAACCCGGCCCAGATGAGTCCCGAACAAAAGGATTTGCAAACACTCTCCTTGTGGGCCCCCAGCAGTGGGCTGCACAGCAAGGTCTGAGCGAGGGATCTACCTGCCCTCAGAGGGGATGCCAATCTCTGCCCATCCCACAACCCCTTCCTGCCTGCATTCCTGAGATGCCCTGCGCCCTGGGCAAGGACCAACGGTCCACAGGGTGCGCAGTGCATGCACACGCATGCGCACACACAAGGGCACACACATGTGCACACACAGGATGTACAGCCCTCCCCCCTACCTACCCCAACACTCAAGGCCAGGGAGGACAGAGTACCAGGCACGAGGGCCCAGGAAATGCCCAGCATCCTCCCTGCTTCAGCCTAACAAGACAAGCGCTTTGCTTTCCAGAAGCCAACTTTAAGCCTCCCCTTGAGGGGACCTCATTTGCAGGGTGAATGTGAAAGGTGGGAGGGAAGAAAACCCTTTGGTGATACCGGCCTCAGGAACAATCTTGCCTCTGAGAGCAAGCCGGTATTCGGGGTTAATCCCTCTGTGGAAACACAGGGTTGAAGGGCTGGAGGAGGTCAGGGGTCTGAGTGGTGCTTCTGTTTACATATAAACTTCCTGGTGCAAGAGACAATCGGAGAGTGGGGGAGGGGGACGGGGAAGAAAGGAAAGAAAAAGAATTTTTTTAATTAAATGGCCTTCTCTCTAAAAATAAAGTCAACAAAAGGAGGTGGCGCTTGGGGAATCAAGGTTTGATTTTAAGGCCCACCCCAACGAATTTTTCTTTTAAATTTCTCTCTCCTGAGTTACATCGTGCAACGAAGCTGCTTTTTGAAACACCTTTTGAAACCAAATACAGATACAGATTTGTGGGCATAGATGTATTTTTTCAAACAAGAAACGGAGAAAGAAACCTTAGTTACCTTCTGAGCTCCAGAAGAACGCTCCACTAAACCAGCCAACATGCTTGGGCCCATGTTTTGCTGGACTCGAAATGGGGTTCTGGTTTGGTTTTTGTTTAATTTAGATTTAATTTGATCAGAGAAAAATCACCATAACGACTCTGTAACTGGAGAATGAGCTCAAAACAATGGTAGTTCAGGCCAATTTGGAACTACCAAAACACACACATATAAAAGAATCTAGAGAATAGTATTAAGAAGCCAAATGACCCCATACTTTCAAAAGAATTAAGAGAAAAAGAAAGTATTTCTTTCACACACTCAAAAGGAGGCAAAGCAAAACTATGGGAGGGAGGCTGAAAATGCCAAATGGTTCATCAAGAAGGAGACAGTTTTTAAGATCTATAACTTGAGCAACTTTTTAAAGATTAAATTTAAAAGACAAAATTATAGATAGATAGATAGATAGATAGATAGATAGATAGATAGATAGATAGATAGATAGACAGATTGTCGTTGTTGTTACAGTGGCTGAATACAGTGGCTGTGTGAAGGGGTGGGGATTTAAGAAAGATTCTGTTCCAGGCATAGGTAAGAACATCAAAATATCTGTGGAAACTCGAGTACTGGGGACATTTACAACCCCATAAGGATCAGGTACGTAGGATTTATATTTACAACAGTTCATAATGAAACATCCCAAAACCCAAATGCACACCTGATCACTACTTTCCTTTTGCATTTCTAACTGGGGAGTTTGGGATTTGTTTTGTTTGCAAATATTAAAGCAAATTCTCATTGTTTACTCTTGTCAACCATAAAAGAAAGCATTTCTTCAATAAATCTTTCCATTTTGAGCCTCTAACTAAAGGATTCTGGAAAGTCAAACATCCACACTTTGAAAATAAATGTGTCAACAGAAGCAGCACAAAGGAGGAGAAAGAGGCGGAGGCTGAGGAGGAAAAGGGGGAGGAGGAGGAAAGAGAGAGCAAATAAAAGTTGAAATCAAATCCTGTGAGCCATTAATTACTTCTTCAGAAAAAAAAAAAACCAAGAAATTTTATAACTGCTTTATTTTCCTCAATAAATTCTGTGATTCCCCTAACTCATCACCTCCTTGGTCCCTGCCTTTTACACACTTGGCTTTTTCCTTTTTCAGCTCTCTCATGTTCTAAATGGAGGTGGCTTCCTGATATTTTCTAACACAAATTCTTGGAGACACCTGACAGCTGGAAGGAATCAGGGACAAAAGGAGACAGGGGAGCCAGGAGAGAGAACGCCAGGGTGCCCTTCAGCCAGGGCCCAGGGTACCCCAGCCCCACTGCCCCTGGAGCTCAGGAGGCTCCAAAAGGCCACCAGCAAAGGCACTGGGAAGGGACGCCCGCCTCCCTCACTGGTGTCCTGCCACCTCCTTGCAGACAGACTGACAAGGTGAGGCAAGTTGCCAGGCTCAATACAGTGGCTGAACAAAGGGGAAAGAATTCAGGGCCCAGTGGCAAATATCAAAGGTTGTCAGAGAGCAGGGGTGAGTCATGGCAAGCCATCAGACTGCCCTACACCATAACAATGAGCGCAATTTGGGTTTCAAAATGCCAAAGGCTGGGCCCTGGGGCCTGCAGTGGGCTCTGGTCTGGGTCATAGAATTTAGCATCCAAAACAGAGCATTTCTGATTCAAAAGAGTGGGATTTCTGTTATAATTATCCTAGGGCAACCCATATGAGCTGGGACTGTCCTAGGCAAACCTGGACATTGCTGCCTTTAATTTTTTATTGTGGTTGTTTTTTGGAACAGGGTCTCGTGCAGGCTGGCCTTAAACTCACTGTGTAGCCCAGGCTGACCTCAAACTCAGTGATCCTCCTGCCTCAGCCTCTCAAGTGCTGAGATTAGTCATGTACCACCATGCCCTGCTTGCCGCCGCTAGTTTTTAAATCCCTCCCAAGTCTAAAAGATAAAATCTAGCTGCCCTCAGAAGCAGCCTCTTTCCCACGGACAGCCATCCCACAGCCAGAAGCAGTGTCTGAGAGCCCCTGGGTCCCTCTTGGACAGCCACTACCTCTGTGAGCCAATTAGAGACAGAAAGAAGCCGGGGGACAATTTTGGCCCCAAGAGGTCTTCCTCAGGAGTCCAAGGTCAGCGGGGTGGGCTGGGGCTGCAGGCCTGGGTCCCTGGGCAGAGGCCCCCGCAGAGCAGGGAAGGCAGGGCTGATGTGGAGCCCGGTGAGGGGATGCAGCCCCCACAGGGCAGGTCCAGAGGCCGCCTGAGCCTGGAGCTGGACGGAAGGCCGCCTGCCCGCCCCCACTGGGCCCTCCCGGAGTGCCTCGGTTTCCCCGCGAGCGGCTCCTCGCCCGTGGCCCGGGGCTGCACTGCACCCGTGTCACCACTGCTGTCACACATGTCCTGGGGGAGTGCCGGGTGCCGCGGCCAAGTCAGGGCCTCTCTACCCAGGGAGAGGAGCTGCGGTGACCACGGAGACCCCGCGTGGAGCCAGACGCCACAGGGCACCGTGTCACTCACTGCGTGTGGAGGGCAGTGACCGGCTCTCCATATCCACGCGGTGACGACCCCAAGGCAGCCCAAGGGGTTCGCAGTTCTGAAACAGATCAGCTGCCGGTGAGACACGGAAGGGGCAGAGGTCAGGAGCCTCAGGGCCCTCACGGGACAGATAGCTCTGCCTCTCCCTCCCTCTGCCCTGTTCACTCCCCTGGCCACTCTGCGGTATTCTCAGGACCCCTCCATCTCCCTGGCATCACAGCACCCGTCTGCCCAGCAAGGTCGCGCTTGCATCCTTTGCCACCTTTCTCAGATGAGAAGACAGCGGCCCCAGCTCGCTCCAAACCCAGCGTCGCCTCCTCCTCCTCCTGATGGCCCAGGTCGCCCTGCTTGGACAGAACAAGCCTTGGGCTGCAAGGAGAGGCTCTGACCCCGAGGCAGGAAGCTGCCAAGTCGGTTGCTCTGTCCTCGGCCCCTACCCCGCGGCGCATCACACAGCCAGTGCCTGTGAATGTGCAGGATGCACAGAGCCCTGCAGACTCAGCCCCAAGCCGGGCTTCCCCCAGGCTCTGTGTTAGGAGCCAGGAAAATGTCTACATTGGGATCTGAAAAGAGAGACCAAAATGACCCAAAGTGGAAATGGACCAGGTCCCTGCCACCAGACCAGAAGGAAGAATAAGATGCTGGCTGGAGTTCACCATCCTGCCAACGCCTCTCCCGAGAGAACGCTCCCATTTTAAAGAGAGCTAAGTAAGCATACCCGGCCCCTCCAGGAAGCAGGAGGATGGACAGGCAGCTGCCGCTCAGAGAGGGATTGGGAGGAGGAAATGGGAGGAATCTGGGAATGAAAAAGGAAAGCAGGAGCATGACAGGCCTGGCCCAGAAATCTTGACAATGAAAACAGAGCTGCAAATACCCGCAAAGTCGCTGTCAGAGATGGGTCCAGCGGAAGGGTGTCCTTACGACCCACAGAGCTCGAGACAGGAAGCCAGCGCATCTTCAGGATGGAAAGCTAAGTAAGGCAGCCTGTATTTCTGCAGCATGTGTCGTGTTTCCAGCCGTAAAATGTGGCCCAAGCTTTATGAAAATATCGGTAAAGCATCCCACGTGCTGCTCAAGGCGGGCAGGAATTGTGATGAACGGATCCACACAAACTCTCGGCCAAGGCTCCCTCCCACCATTCCAAGGCGATCTTCACCCCAAGGGGCCCCTCAGCCCCAGTATGCACCCCCAAATAGAAGACTACCACGGAAGACACAGACTCACCAAGGAGGAGCGCGCTTACCTTCCCACTTGGTCTAGCCAGACCCCGGTCCCCTGCAATTAGAAACAACTGGGACTGGCAGACTGAGCAGGTGGTCGAATACCCCGGGAAAATCCTCACCACCTGTTCCCCAAGTTCTTGGACCTTTTGGAGAGTGCTCTGGCACCCCGGCTCAGAATCTAGCTATTTCCTTTAAGAAAACCAAACTGCAGCTGGGCGTGGTGGCACACACTTGTAGTCCCAGCACTCGGGAGGCTGAGGCAGGAGGATTGCTGCCAGTTCCAGGCCAGCCTGGACTACACAGCAAGACCCTAACTATGGACAAAAAACAGGACGGCAACCAGAAGGAACCAGGGCTGTAAGACCAGCTCTTGCCCTCTGCGAGACACCTGCCATTGAGTGTCTCACACTCCTCGTGCCACCTGGCTCTGTATTTTCCCGGGACACAGATAGGCCTGAAGCGGTCTTAACTTTCCAGGGGAAGAAATGGCCCTGGGTCTGTAGGAGAAACAGTAAATGCCCCAAATTATCCAAGAGTGGATCTGGAACCAAAGCCTCCTATCTTTTCCTGATGGTCTCGCGTGCCTGTGGACACACTAACGGGCTTAGAATGTCTCCACCTTTTCTGCACACAGCAGCAGCCTAAAAAGAAGAGGCCTGAAAACCAAAACTTTCTGGGGACCCAACAGGGTGGGAAGCAAAGGACCTCTGTCCTGAAGCCCAGAAGCTGGAATGGCCCAGTGGTATCCTGTGAGATAAAGATGCCCAAAGGAGCGGCCAGCCACACCCCAGGATGCTGCAGGCCCGTTTGCTGGGGAGGAGCCTTCCCTTCCCACTGGAACACTGCCTGCTCCCACTATTGCCTGGGAGACAGCATCAGCGAGCTGAGCGCTGCTGCCCACCCGCCCAGCCACTCAGGGTGATGGCTTAGACCCAAAGCTGGCAAGTGCCCACCACTGGGTGTGACTCACCCAGGTATCCACTTCTGGGAACACCCTCGTGCTCACCCTCTTGCTCCTGGGTGAAGACAGAGATCTGGCCGCAGCCCAGCTCAGCAGCTGATGGGAATCCTTCACCAGCTCAGGCCTTTCTCCACGGGGTGGTGCAAACAAGGGTTTTCAAGGCATCATTTTGAAGGAATGAACATCAGCCATCTTTTTCTGTTTTTTTTTTTTTCTGTTCTTTGATTTTTTTCAGACAGTGTCTCACTATATAATCCAGGCTGGCCTTGAGCTCACTGTGTAGCCCAGGTTGGCCTCCAACTTGCGGGGATCCTCCTGCCTCAGCCTCCCAGGTCACATTGCCAAGCGATCACTTCTCTATACCAGCGCAGTTTCTCATCTACAACAGGGATGCATGGAGAGAGCTCCTCTAAGAACTGACCCAGGAGGGCCATAGTGGAGTCTGTATTCAGCAGGCACTTACCAAGCATCTCATACGTGCAGTTACTGAGTACCTCGTGAAGGGCTTGGCATGGGCACAGCATGTGGGATGAGGACGAAGCTTTCTCAGTTCAAATCCCTTTCTCCTACTTAATAGCTGTGGCCTCTGGGCACATCAGCCTTCTCTGTGCCTTACCTTTTGCATCTACCCGACATGGATGCCAGCACCTAACTCACAGAGTTGCAAGAATTAAAATAACATGATCACAACTAATGCACTAAAAGCAGGACCGGGAATGCAGCAAAGCCCTCGATAGCACTAGGGGTGGAGGCAGACATCTGTGAAAACCTACGTGCGGTCAGGGCCTCAGCAGTGCTGCTGGGAGTCGGAGGAAGGAAAGCGCTGTGCTGGGACCTCTTCACTCCCCCGCCCCCCAGCGCCCTCTCTTCTCTGTCCCTGATGTCCCTGGGGCTCAGCAGGCCCCTCAGGGAGTGGTCGGATACCCTAACCAAACAGCACAGCTCCTAGAACAAGCCCACACCAGTGAGTTGGTCAGGTTTCTCCCCATCCCGACAAGGCAGATTTCCAACATGCATGGCCAGCTTTGCCTTCGTTTCTTCCTCAGTAACAACAACAGTGAAAAAATGAACTAAACCCTAAGTTGTGTTACCTATTTCTATGTGGCAACACAGTGTAGTCAGAGAAATCACAACTACAAGCAATGAGCATAGATAGAGTTACTCAGGACTAAATATTCAGAGGAGAGGAGGGCCAGGGATTTAGCTCAGTGGTTCCACGGCCTGCCTTGCAAGCGCAAGAACCCGAGTTTGATCCCTGGTACAAAAAAAAATTGAACAGACAGAGGAGACGAGCAATTTCAGGGCAAATGTATCCCTCTGTCACTGCCAAAACTAAAAATGTCCGTTTACACCTCTGCTTCAGGTGAGCGCCAGAGAAATCTATTTGAATGCTTCTTTATAAACATGCGGGGAGCACAGAAAAAGTAGTCTGAAGTGGTCCTTTTTGTGTAATATAAACTTGCACATTCGGTTTCATTGCATTTCATATGTAAATATCCATAGGCGCATGCGTGCTTATCAAAAGCAAGAAAGGGCCGGGGATTTAGCTCAGTGGTTCTGCAGCCTGCCTCCAAAGCACAAGGACCTGAGTTGGATCCCCAGTACCCCAAAAAAGAATTTTAAAAAAAAGCAAGAAATACATCTACTGACTACAGTGGCTGGCAGGGCACTGGTTTCAGGAACCCCAAGATAAAAAAAAAAAACAAACAGGTCCTATTTGCATGAGTTCGATGCGCATCCTCCTGGATGCTACTTTAAGTCACATCAGAAGGATTTAAATACTTAATGCAATGTAAATGCTATAGAAATAGTTATCGTACTGCATTGTGTAGGGAATCGGGACAAAAAGTAAACTATAGATGTTCAGAGCAGATGCAATTTGAAAATACATTCTCAGTGCCATCAACTTCGTGGGTTCGAGGTTGTGGGAATCTAGACACGGAAGGCGAGCTTCCTGTGGAGTACAGGTTAGTGGTAATTCCCTTCCTTCTTTTGTATTTTTCAAACGGTGGCACTAAATCTGTGTTATTGTTGTCACTTAGAATGATACCAGTATTATTAGTATAGTTTTAAAATAGCATCAGGGAAGACAGATTTTTTAAAATCAGCCAGAAGTAATTTTTAAACCTGTGCAAAAGTCTAAGAATTCAACTAAAATAAAAAAAGGACTAATTAGGAAACATCAAGAAATGAGTTAACGAAGTCGAGCGCAGTGATGCGATCCCAGTAGTGAGACACTGAGGCCGGAGGACTGCAGGTTTGAGGCCAGCCTGAGCTGCATCCTCATCTGAAAAGAGAAGGAGGGAGGAGAAGCGGGAAATAAGGGGGAGAGGGCCAGGGAGACAGGAAACAGTGGGGAAAGAAGCAGAGAAGAAAATTAATGAACATTCAAAGAGAGGAGTTTGTGGTTTACACGTCATTTATATTTAGAACCAAAATTTTGTAACAAAGTATTGATGATAAATCAGTAGCAGATACTATTTATCTGTTTGTGGCCACTTACGGAAAGTATAAAGTAAGCAAATGTGTCTTAAGTACCAAGGAATGGGGAGGAGGGTGAAGGTACCTCTGAGAATCAGAGGAAAACTGCAAACAACAAACCTTTCCTCCCAGAAAGGCAACCCGCTCCCCACACCAAAGTCCACAGATACATTTAGAAGATTCCTAATCCCTCAAATCCATCCACCTTTCCACACTGGAGCCCATAAAACATGGGCCAATAAAGTCTACTTCAAGAATTGTCTGCACGCAATCTTCCCCCAAATCCTTTGTTATTATGGTTAGTGTCAAGCATAGAGAAAAGGTGGAGAACAATAAACAGCCATTCAGCAATTCTTTGCTTTTTAAATGATAATACGTCTATTTATTGTATTTTTACAGAAAAGCTAAATCTTGTAGAGATGGAGACATTGCCCACAGGTACTTTAGCAAGTGCTCCTAAGAATAAAGATGTTCTTCCTAACAGGGAGCGAATCGCACCCAGGACTATGAACAGTAATTCCATTGTGCCGGTCACCAGGAACCTACCTCTGTCACCCAAGGAATAGTCTGCAGGTGTTTTTCTGAAGAAGAAAAAAAAAATCAGAGAGAGAAATGAGCCAAGTGTCTGTTTTGTTACCCTAGATGCCTTGGGATAGCAGCTATCCCCAAAGGCCAAATGAGACCCTGATCAAGGCCTTGGGGTCAGTGAGACCTAGCCAGCCAGCTGCTGTGGCCAGCAGTGACCCCACTGGGCCCTCCACTCTGACCTGGGAAGGTGGCAGACAGGAGCCATTGGATCTGCGACACAAACGTTCCTCTGCCCCAGCGTCCACCACACAGGATGCCCATGGCTCAGCTTCTCCCCTCAGCCATTTACGGCCTCGCCATCCTTTGCTTCTCAGCCAACTCTCCCAAACCCCAAGACCACCGAAGGGGTGGGCTCTGGCTGGGTCAGACCTCCTCGCCTCTCTCCATTTGGACAAGACCTACTTGCAACTCAGCCTGATGGCTTACGGTGGTAGCTTCCAGATGCCAAGATGGCAATTTCCAGGTGCCAAGAAATCATAGGCTTCGATGGTGACAAGTTCTGCGCCATCTCTGCCCTTCCCCTTCCGTATCAGTTCCCAACGCAGACTCTCCGAAGCTCTCCAGCGCTTGGCACGCAACTGTGCCTGCGGTTACCCTCTTGGCAGTGTTGTTAAACTATTCCTCTCCCCCACAGACTGAGCCCCTCAAGGTCAGCAGCCCTGTCTTTTTCCCCCCAGTCCTCTGAGTGGTGGCTTCAGTGGTGGCCCCCTGAAAAGATAAGTGTCAGACCTGGCCCTCAGTATGTGTGAAGGGTCCGTGCAGATAGAATTAACCGTCCAGGCGATGC